GAAACACGTGAGGTTCATAGGATTCAAGCGTTAATGACGGTCACGATTTTTACCTGCAAGGGACTTTATCCTCTTTTGTCTTGTCTATAATCTAGATATTGATGAGTGTGAAAGTAACCCCTGTCAAAATGATGCAACTTGTGAGGACGGTATCAACGAGGTTTCTTGTGCATGTGCTGAAGGCTTTTATGGCCCTCTCTGCGAAACAGGTGAGTTTCATAGGATTCAGGCGTTAATGACTGTCAAGATTTGTACCTGGGAGGGATTTTATCCGTTGCTTTTGTCTTGTCTATAATCTAGATATTGATGAGTGTGAAAGTAATCCCTGTCAAAATGGCGCAACTTGTGTAGACGGTATCAACGAGGTTTCTTGTGCATGTGCTGAAGGCTTTACAGGCCCTCTCTGCAAAACAGGTGAGTTTCATAGGATTCAGGCGTTAATGACTGTCAAGATTTGTACCTGGGAGGGATTTTATCCGTTGCTTTTGTCTTGTCTGTAATCTAGATATTGATGAGTGTGAAAGTAACCCCTGTCAAAATGGTGCAACTTGTGAGGACGGTATCAACGAGGTGTCTTGTGCATGTGCTGAAGGCTTTACTGGCCCTCTCTGCAAAACAGGTGAGTTTCATAGGGTTCAGGCGTTAATGACGGTCAAGATTTTTACCTGCGAGGGACTTTATCCTTTTTTGTCTTGTCTATAATCTAGATATTGATGAGTGTGAAAGTAATCCCTGTCAAAATGGCGCAACTTGTGTGGACGGTATCAACGAGGTTTCTTGTGCATGTGCTGAAGGCTTTACTGGCCCTCTCTGCAAAACAGGTGAGTTTCATAGGGTTCAGGCGTTAATGACTGTCAAGATTTTTACCTGCGAGGGACTTTATCCTTTTTTGTCTTGTCTATAATCTAGATATTGATGAGTGTGAAAGTAACCCCTGTCAAAATGGCGCAACTTGTGTGGACGGTATCAACGAGGTTTCTTGTGCATGTGCTGAAGGCTTTTATGGCCCTCTCTGCCAAACAGGTGAGTTTCAAAGTATTCAGGCTTTAATTACTGTCAAGATTTTTACCTGCGAGGGACTTTATTCTTTGTGTTTGTCTTGTCTATAATTTGGATATTGATGAGTGTGATCCCTGTCAAAATGGCACAACTTGTGAGGACGGTATCAACGAGGTTTCTTGTGCATGTGCTGAAGGCTTTACTACCATCTCTGCAAAACAGGTGAGTTCCATAGGATTCAGGCGTTAATACTGTCAAGATCTTTACCTGCGAGGGACTTTATTCTTTTTTTCTTTTTTTCTTTTTTTCTTTTTTTTTGGTCTTTTCTATAATCTAGATATTGATGAGTGTGAAAGTAATCCCTGTCAAAATGGCGCAACTTGTGAGGACGGTATCAACGGGGTTTCTTGTGCATGTGCTGAAGGCTTTACTGGCCCTCTCTGCGAAACAGGTGAGTTTCATAGGATTCAGGCGTTAATGACAGTCAAGATTTTTACCTGCGAGGGACTTTATCCTTTTTTGTC